CTGCACCGCTCTCTGCGGGGGAGAGGGCAGCCGCACTGAGGCAGGCAGGAGGCTGGAGTCACCGGGTCCAGGAGAGTGGATACTGCCTGCAGGGGAAGGCAGGGGAAGGGAAGGTCAGAGTGAGTTGGGTTCGCAGCCTGCCTCCCCGTGACCGTGACCCGGTGTCTGAAGTGAGGAAGGCTATTCCTGGGAGGGCATTTACATGAGGTTTAGACCCCTGCTCAGCGTAGGGTGGAAGTGGGAAGTGGCTCAGTCCGCTGTCCTTGTCTCACTTTCTGTTCCTCCAAAGTGTCTCCGTAAATTCTCAAATGCCTTTCCAGATTCTACTGCAGATTTCAAGGTGAGGCAGGAGAGCAGTGCTGCAGATCCCGAAGCCAGCAGCAAACCAAGTGCTTCTGGGACAGGTTTCATGTGTTCCAGTGCTCCTCTGGAGCCCCTCAGAGAGCTGGCTTTTTCCTTTTCCAGGCCCTGGCCTCACTCAGCTCACCCCACGCCTGGATCAGACTGCAGATTTCAGCCTCTCTCTTCTATAAGGGAGAAAGTCAGCCAGCCCTCCTCAGTTGCCTGTCTTAACCTGCATCATGAAGCCTGAGGAAATTTCAAGTAACTCCCCCACCCCCCGCCCTCAGGATCTGGCGACCGCCACTGTTTCTGTTTATCGCTTCTTTGGTTCTGGTTTTCGTTTGAGACAGGTTCTTATTATGTTGGCCTGGCTGGTCTCCAACACCCAGGATCCTCCAGCCTCAACCCCTCTCAGATGCTGGGATTGCAGGCCTAGGGTACCATGCTTGGTGCCCTCAGATCCCAGTACCCTTCTATACCTCTGGGAGCTGATCAAAGTCTTTCTCCCACGTACAGTCTGCTATTGTGGAGAAATTGTGTGGAGCTAGGTGTGGTGCAGGGCTGCAGTTCAGTTCCAGCCATTTGGGAGGCTGAGGCAGGACAGCTGCTGGAACTCAGGCACCTGGACAATCTAATGAGACCCTGCCCCCCACACCAAAAAAGCATTTTATTAGCACGTTATTTTTCACCTCCCTTTGAAACCCTCTGCCTTCCTCATGGGGTGCTGGTGTCAGCAGAAGTCATGGGGAAGTGGTGCCTGGGAGTTAGCAGAGGAGGAGTGAGTAGAAAGGGGAAGTATGAGAGAGGTCCCAGAGGAGACTGTGGAAGGACGAGCAGGCAGACAGACTCCATCTCCCCACCTAAGACCACCAGCATCTGCTGAGCCATGAGCCAAAGCAAGGACTTGCAGGGTAGGGTAGATGGACCATACAGCATCATGAACCAGGGGCCAGGACAAGTCAGGCCTGGGGTGGGGAAACAGGGGGGGCTGCTAGAGGATCTCAGGGGGCAGAACTTGGGTAACCCTCGGGCTGGGCATGGGGAGCAGGAAAGGAAGGGAAGGCTGGTAAAGCTCTGTACCCCTTAGGAGGAAAAGCTTTTGGACTACGCAAGGCCCAGCAGGAGGAGGGGCTGAATGAGATCAACAAGGTAAGAGAAAGAACCAAGGGGTGGAGTCTGGAGGCTCCCCAGGCTGAGAGGGATGACCCTGGCTCTGATCTCCCCAACAGCAATTCTTGAATAATCCTAAATACTGCAGTGATGAGGACCTGCCTTCCAAACTAGAAGCCTTCAAGAGTGAGGAGAAGTGTGGGTGGAGAGGGAAGCTGGGGCAGGGGCGGGGTGTGTGTGTGTGTGTGTGTGTGTGTGTGTGTGTGTGTGTGTGTGGAGAAGCATGGGGGTTCAAGGCCAGCAAACACACTGGCTTTTGTGGTGGAAGCGGGAAGGCTGCTTCCACGTCTCTCCCTCCCGTTCGTGTGGTCCTTTCCCTGCCCTGCCCATCTTAGCTCCCCTCTAGGTTCCCTCCACCTTCACAGGGCCTCACAACCCACTATCCCCACTTCCCGTCTGCCCCTCCTCCTCCTCCCACGTCTTCTCCACTACCCTGGTATTGGTTAACTACCTCTTCCTTAAACCCCCATAACTAGCAATTACTCTCTGCTTTGTTTTACCTAGATAAGTACATGGAGTTTGATCTGAATGGAAATGGAGACATTGGTGAGAAAGAGGGTGGCTGGGGGAGTATGGAGACCTAGGCGAATGGCCGTCTCCTCTACTGGCCCTGCCCTCTGTGGACAGGCAAGGGTCCAGCCACAATCGATAATACAGGGGGGGTATGGCGCGTGGAGGTACAAGATGGCAGGGAGAAGGGACCCTCCTTTCCCACCCTGGCTTTCCACCTTCAGATATTATGTCCTTGAAGCGAATGCTGGAGAAACTTGGGGTTCCTAAGACCCACCTAGAGCTAAAGAAATTAATTAGAGAGGTGTCCAGTGGCTCCGAGGAGACGTTTAGCTACTCTGACTTTCTCAGAATGATGCTGGGCAAGAGATCCGCCATCTTGAGAGTGTGAGCATCCAGTTCCAACCTCCTTGAACTTCCGTCTTCTCCATCCCTAGCCCTAACCTTGTCCCCAGCAACCACCCTTCCTTCTTCTTAGAGGGTCTCTCCCAAGACTCTTCACTCCCCCAACCCATCCCCAGCTCTGGTCCCCACAGCCCACAGCACTGTCTTCCCAGCCCTTATTCTCCCTCCCCTTCTCAACTCTTACAGCAACCTAAGATCTACTCCCTTGAGAGATGTGTCCCTGATGCCTGTGTCTCTTCCAGGATTCTGATGTATGAGGAAAAAAACAAAGAACACCAGAAGCCAACTGGTCCCCCGGCCAAGAAAGCTATTTCTGAGTTGCCCTAACGGCGGTGGATGTGCACAGGGTGGGACTGGAGGGGCCGTCTAATGTCAGCAGAACGGAAAGAAGTAGCTGTGAGCCAGAGTCAAACTAAATAAATAACGCTCCCTACCGGGTCAGGTCAGCTTCGCTCTTTCTGGGGACACCTGGCCTGGGTGGGGGAGGAAGGTGCACCTGTGCCCCAATCATCCGTCTCTCAATACTCAATGGGTTTGCTGTAGTGGGTAGTTCTTTGTACTGAGGGGAGATTGCAGAGTTCCAAGACAGCTTTGGCTGAAAAGAACAGAGGTATGTGTCTGGCGGTAGTGGTGCACACCTTTACTCCCAGCACTTGGGAGGCAGGGGCAGAGGCAGGCAGATCTCTATGAGTTCAAGACCAGCCTGATCTACAGAGTGAGTTCCAGGACAGCCAGGGATACACAGAGAAACACTGTCTTGAAAAAAAAAAAAAAAAAACAAGAAGTGAAGTTAACCTTGACAGAGTCTTCATCTCCACCTCTGTGACCCCAACAAATCACACAGCTTCTCAGGCTTTACTTTGAAAATGGGAATGAATGAGAACTAAGCTTTTTGTTTGTTTCTTTTTGAGACAGCACCTCTCTGCATAGCCCTGGCTGTCCTGGAACTTGCTCTGTAGATCAGGCTGCAGCCCCAGCGCACAGAGCCTCCGGGGGGCTCTTCCCAGAGGTGAAATGAGGGAATGTCCTTTTCGGTAATTCCCAGAGAGATCCAGTGACTGTAAAACTTCAGGTAAGGGTGGAGGGCTAGAACGAGGCTCAGCAGTTAAGAGCATATGCTGCTCTTGAAGAGGACCAGGGCTGGGAATGGCGCTCAGAGGCCCAGCATGCACCAGTCTTTAAGGTCAAGCCCCAGACCAAAAAAGACCAGGATTTGGTTCCTAGCACTGTCGACTCAGGGACTCCAGTTCCAGAGGTTCTGATATCCTCTTCTGCTGTCTGTGGGCACTGCACTCATGTACACCCCACATACACAGATACACAAAATACAAAGAATAAGCCATAGCCAGGTGGTGGTGGCACACACCTTTAATCCCAGCACTCAGAACCCAGAGGCAGGCGGATCTCTGTGAGTTCGAGACCAGTCTGGTCTATAGAGCGAGTTCCAGGATAGCCAGGGCTACACAGAGAAACCCTGTCTCAAAACAAAAAACAAACAAAAAACAAAAAACAAAAGACAAAAACTAAGCCAGGCATGGGTTGGTGCACACCTTTAATCCCAACCCTCAGGAGGCAAGGGCGGGTATATCTTCTGTGGGTCTGAGGCCAGTCTGATCTATATAGTGAGTTTCAGGCCAGCAAGGATGACAAAGTAGTTTGAACACAAATATACCTCACACACAAGGTAGATTATATTGGTGCTGAGAATTAAACTAAAGGACTCTGGTACATTCTTTATCACAAAGCTACACTTCTAACTACGGCTGAAAATTTTTAAACTAATTTTTGATTGTGTATACGAATGTATGTGAGTATGTGCACCAGAGCCTAGGGCTCAAGATCCTTCTGCTTCAGTCTTGGAAGTGCTGGGACTATGGTACCAATCTTCTACCTAGATAATTATTAGCAGGCACCAAGCTCTTTAAATTATGTTTTGGCTAATTTTGTCTCACTTCTTGTTTGGTAGCAGCAAGTGGCGCCCTCTAGTGTAAAGCTCAAATGTAGCTCTTGTAGGGTTGAATCAGGTTCAACTCTTCTCAACCCCTGGCAGATGAGCCTAAGATCCTTCAGCCCTTGAGACCAGGCAGTAATACAGCTGTTGGCAAGGCGTATCCAGGACCCGTCCTGAACACTTGACAGCTCTCTGCAACTATTATTATTATTTTTTTTTCCGAGACAGGGTTTCTCCTTGTAGTTTTGGTGCCTGTCCTGGATCTCGCTCTGTAGCCCAGGCTGGCCTTGAACTCACAGAGATCCGCCTGCCTCTGCCTCCCAAGTGCTGGGATTAAAGGTGTGCACCACCACCACCCAGACTTTAATTTATTATTACTTTATACACACACACACACACACACACACACACACACACACACACACACGAATGTTCTGCCTTCTTGTAAGTCCATGTACATGTGTGCCTGGTGCCTGGAGGCCAGAAGAGGGCATCAGATCAATTCCTGGAACTGGAATTACAGCCTGTTGTGAGCTACAGTGGGTGCTGGGAGTTGAACCGGGGTCCTCCGTAAAGGTGCAGCAGGGGCAGGTATTCTTAACCTCTGAGCCGTCATGGCTCCAGCTTTTTTTTTTTTTTTTTTCTTTTTGAGACAGCATCTTACTATCCAGGTTGGTCTGGAACTCATAAAGATCTGCCTGTCTCTGCTGGGATTCATGGGGTGTGTCGCCAGCTCCTCTGGTTCATTATAGTTTTCTATTCTTTGGCCGCGGCTCTCCATCTTTACGCTCCTGCTCTTCCCTTGTTCCTGCCTCCATGCTCTCTCACGCTGATCAGCTGCCTCCTCCTCAGCTGCCAGGCAGCTGGCCTCTGCCATTCAGTGCTGCTTTCCACACTGCCAGCTCAGCGCACACCTCGGAAAGTAGGCAAGAGAAGATCACCAGAGAGGAGTCCTTAATTGGGCCCTATGTTCTGACTCCTGCGAGTGCTGTGAGCAACTTCCAAGTGAGCCAAATGCCTTTGCTTACATCCCCAGGGAAGGGTAGCACCAATCCAGCAAACCTCTCGTGACAATGATTCAAACTGTAAAACTCCCAGAATTGTCCCTTTAACACCAGTCACAGCAGCGTCTCTACCAGGCCACTAAAGGTAGTGCTCTCTGCTGGGGATGTCTTTCTGGATGTTGTGAATGTGTGTTGCTCTGATTTGGTTGATAAATAAAACGCTGATTGGCCAGTAGCCAGGCAGGAAGTATAGTATAGGTGGGACAAGCAGAGAGTATTCTGGAAAGAGGAAGGCTGAGTCAGGAGATGCCAGCCAGACGCAGAGGAAGCAAGATGACAAGGCAGAACTGAGAAAAGTGGCCGCAGGACTGGCGGGTGAGAGAGATTTGTCCTGACCATGGGCCAGGTGGGACACAGGAAAACTTCAGCTACAGCTCTCTTTCTGGCCTCCATGGAAATGGCAGATCATCTATGCCTGTGAGAGCAGAAAGTTCAGTACAAACTATTTGAAACAGCCCTGGCTGAGGCTCTACCTTCAGGGGCTGGAGCATTCAGCTGCGTTATTATTTCTTCCACACTGTGGAGTGTTCAAAAGAATGGAAGTTGGCAAAGAGCGGTCTGGCAAGCTTTTGATCAACAGACCTTCCTCTCAAGGAAGCCAGGGAAGGTAGGAAGAGAGAATCCACCAGGGCCAGCTGGGAAGTCAAACTGTCCCACGCTCTGGCATCGTTGCTTGGGTACAGGAAAGTGATCAGAAGGGGTGCTTACAATAAAGACTTAAAGAACTTATTGATGGTACTTAATAATAATTTAAACAGTGTTTCAAGATTGCAAGCACATGATAATTCTATGTCCTAAACTATGTCCTGCTAACTTTTCATCTCCATTGTCTGTATTGGACAAGTGATTCCTTTATTTACCTACATCAGCTAGACACAGCCTGCAAACCTTTGCTGCTACTCCTCTGTCTTTTGGACCTGAACTATAGTATTCTCTCAAAATCGACTAAGATTTGCACCACATTTCAGTGTGTGTGTGTGTGTGTGAGAGAGAGCGAGAGAGCGAGAGAGAGAGCACGATGTGGGCACATATGGAGGCCAGAGGACAACCTTGGCTATTTGTCGTTCCTCAGAGGCTGTCCACCAGGTCCACCTGTCCTCTGCGGCACTGGGATCAGAAGGGGATGCCGAGTTCTACATCTCTGCCTCCCCCTCTGCTCTCTCCATGTCTCCTGAGGTTTTCTAAAGCACTTTTTACCCTGCTCTGGAGAGATGGCTCAGCGGTTAACAGCACTTGCTGTTCTTTCAGAGAACCTGGATTCGATTCCTAACACCTACATCTGGGAGCTCACAACCACCTGTAACTACAGTTCAGGGCATCCAACATCCTTTTCTGAGGTCCACCAGGAACCCATGTGGTACAGATGTTTACATGTAGATATCCATACACAGAAAATTAAAAAAATGGATATAAGAATTTTTTTCTGGGGTTGGAGAAATGGCTGTTGGATCTCGTTACTCATGTATAGGCTGGGCGGATCACATGTGTCTGTAACTCCCGCACTAGGGTGCAGAGACTGGAGGATCCCTGGAGTTCACTGGCCAGTCCATCTGGAATCCCTGCTCACCCACCCAACTATCCAGATTCACTGGAAGAGTGTTTCAAAAATATGAAGTGTCTGGGGGAAGACCTCTGGATGTCAACCTCTGGCTTGCACAACCACCCATAAAGGCCGGTGCACCCCTCATATACATTAAAAAAAAAAAGAACAAGAAAATGCTGACTAGGTAGGCCCGGTGAGCGGCAAAGGATTTTACAGTCAAGCACTAAGAAACAAAGAGAGGAAACAGTACCACCTTTGAAACTGAAATTCATTGTTGAAAGAACACAAATTGCCAATTACATTAACTATACAAATTTTTTTTAAAATTACAGGGCATAAAATTAAATGTCCACCGTGGTTGTTCACGGCTAAAATTTGGAAGAGTAGGTCATTCCTAGTCTTTGTTCAAGCGATTTGCATATATTATGCAAATACCCAGAACCCCTCGAAGAACGCCTACTCGGAGGCAGTCAACGAGCGGCTCCCCGGGACCCTTTCATTGGCTTGGCTAACCTTCATCTGCATGACGTGATTTCACGACTGGGAAGCCCGCCTCCCCGAAGCGTTTACCTCTCCCGAATGGACGCCCGACCCGGGGCTCTTCCAGGGTCCATGTAAACTCCGCCCTCGACTACGTCATCCCTTCCGCTCGTCGCAGTTCTTCCCGTCCGCTCGGCAGAAAGCGTCGAGAGCCTAGCGCCGTTTCCCCGCGTCTGTCTGCCGCTCATCCTTCCGCGGGCGCACCACGCATGCGCCGCCCCTCTCTCCCACCCTCCGTCGTGTAAATTCTGCGCCCCAACGGCCCGGCGTTCCGCCCGGGCTACGCGTCTCAACCGCCGACGCCAAGGCGCCTCCCTAGCCAACCGGCGTCCTGGCGTCCGTAAGCCCCTCCCCTTTATGCAAATAGCCGCCGCACGGCCTTTATTTTTGAAGTCGGGGACAGCCCTGAAGCGCGGAGGGGTCGGGCAGGGAGGGGCCCCGCCCTCTATGCAAATAAGGGGGCGTGCCCAGCCGCGGAGGGAGGCGGGAGGTGGGGGGTGCTCCCGGGGGCGGCGGTTGCCCGGATGGGCCGTTAGTCGGAGCCCAGCCGCGAAGTGAGCGAGGGAGACGGGAGGAGCCGAGCGCGGCGCCATCCGCCGCCATCCGCCCCCGCCCCGCCGCCATCCGCCCCG